CACTTGGTTTTACTTTTTCTTGCTTTCTGTTCCTCCTGCCCCTCTACATCATTTCTTATAATACAACTGTAAAAGCACAGCGAGGAAGCAAGCAGTTCTTCTCCATTACTAGACCAGAAGAATTCTCAGCCTCCAGCAATCGGGGAGGATACTAAATGCTAGGACCTGTGGATTTTTATTCCCTGTTGCTCCTTTTCTCTCATAACTCCTGAGGAGAATATCTACTTGGAAGGTGGGGGAGAACATGGCTTCTGACGTAGCAAGGGGACCAGTCCAGCGGAAGCATCCATGTATGCACTGTGCACCCTATTTGAGAGAACATTCTCTCACTTTGTGGTGTGACCCTGTTTACTGAGTCTCTGAAGACCTGTCAGTTAGTCTTTTGTCTTCTGTATATTTCCCTGCCTGTTGATGAGGCTACTTCCTTAAAAAAACACATTTGAACCCTTAAACTGGCTTGGATCCAGGGTCCTGAGACATAACTTGACTAATATTGTAGTGACTCGATGATACAGGTCTGAGCATATTTTTCTGAGTTCTTTTGCTCTCAGAATTTAAGAATATACCTTACTGATACAAAAGTGCTAAATGCTTCTAAAGGAGACTTTTTCCTTGCCAATAAAAATATTTCCCTCCTTATTTCCATTTTCATTGTTTTAATCTTTTTTTTTTGTTTTTGGAAATAGGCACATAAATGTGAGCTCATTCACAAATATAACACTAGAAAACAGAAACATAGGAGGAGGAAAGAGACCTTAATGTCATATGTGCATGTGTTGCGAACTATTACTTACATATGAAATAATCATTATTTCATTGTAGCCTAGTTGTAATTTTTGTTGCATTATAAATATCACAGATCCAATTTTTTTCTACTACCACAGCAGTTTCTGAAGACGTGTAAACCCATAGTGTTATTACTCTCTAATCTAGTTGAGGTGATGAAATAGTGCCAAAACTCTCATTGCAATTTCATTAGCATATTCATGAGTCGCACTTTTGCAGTGTTGCAGAAACAACACAAATTGGTTTGTGGATTGTGAACTCCCCCTTCTCCTCTTCAGAAACACAGACTATAGATTAACAGATCAAGGAGGCACACAAACTTCTGAGCACTAAATTGTGCACGTTTTCTGCTTTGCCCTTTATTTTCATATTTTAAGACTATTCTTAAAATTCCATGACAGTGGACACACTGTTCAACAGAACCACATGGCAGGGGCCTGGACTAGCCTGGAAAAAATGGAAACTTTGGAAAAGCCAGACTCAGTTATTTTGCTAGAAGACAACATTTCTTGGGTTGTTATTGTCACTGATATTTCTTTTCTTTATTGCCAGTCCCTTTCTCCCTCCCCTCCCCTCCCCCTCCTCTCTCCTCTCTTTCCTTTTTTTCCCTTCTTCTATGAAAATTAACAGTACATTTATAGTCTTGATGAAACTGTCTTGCAGTCCACCAAGTCATGTTCCTTTCCCCTTTGGCACATAGCTGGACCACTTTTTCCAGCCTCCCTTGCATTTGGATGTGTCTACAATATTGAGTTGAAGCTAAGAGTTAGTGGAGGGAGATGTGGCCATCCTTCCTAGACCTGACCCATCAACATCCTGTGATGTAGTGATGTCCCTCTAGTCCATCTCTTGGCTGCATGTGGACCTTCAGGGTAACTTTGGCAAAGAGCAGTCAAAGGTAACAAAGCCTTCATCAATCTGGGTCCCTGAATGGCTCTGTGGATTTCCTGTGCTCCGTGGCTCTCTGGACTTCAATTGAAAAATAAGTGTCTTTTGTGATAATCCACTAAGACTTCAGAGTTAATTAGAAGTTAAAGCAGCTGGCAATACCTTGGACAATTCAGTGGAGTTTTTATTATCCAAATTTTATGCTAAGAAATGTGATGCATATTATTAAAATTTTTATTTGATATAAGAAATGGAGCTTTGAGGCTTAAAATATATCAATCCTTTCTATTGTGTGCTGTATTCTTTTATTGTGGCTCTATTTTTAAGCTATGCTGTGCTTTTTCTAAATTAGAAGCATGGAATGAAGCAAAATCCTGTAATTAAATGACCCCAGTCCCACAGTCTGAAGTTAAACATTGGAATATAGATAAGTTTTACAATTTATGTAGCACTTTCGGCTTTTCAAGTTACTTTCACATAATGTGCAATGTGTTTGTTGAGTGTCTTGAAAAATTTAGGTGGTTTCAAGATAAAACATGGATTTCAAAATGAAGGAAACTATCACAGTAACAAAAAAGCACACAACACACTATGGATTCATCTTACTTGTAATCTTAAGAGACAGCGGAGGAAAGTTACTGTGGTCCATCAGCTCTTCACTGAGATGGCTTTTTTTTTTTTAAATATTTCTTTTATTTGAAAAACTCAAAATACAGATATTTCTCACTATTTAATGCTTGTTCAAACTTACAACCCACCCATCAGACTTACAACCCATATTCAGATTTACAAGGCAGGAGTGTGACTGGTGCTGTGGTCTAACAGTGGATCCTTCTACAGTGTTATACTATGATTTTTACTGATTGGTGCTGTACAGTACTGTACTTTTATGTTATACATTATAGTACTGCATACAAGAATTATGGAAATAAGGGCTGAGGAGATAGCTCAGTGAAATAAACGCTTGCCTGTCAAGTGCAAGGTCCTGAGTTCAATCCCTGGTAACCAAAAAACAGAATCATGCAAATCAAAGTAAAACAATCAAGTTGACTGCTCTTTGACCCTTTCTTTGTTTTGATTACTGTAATATACATACTATGTACAATGACTTATTTACTTGTCATTTATTTGGCATTGGGAATAGAACTGAGGACCTTGTACTTGACAGACAGGCATGTGCTCCTGACCTATAAACCCCAGCCTACAATTCCTTGCACAGCAGCCAATTCTTTTAATGATCTAGAAACAAGGTGGAACTATGTTAAACAAGGCCAGCCAGAAAGCTCAGCAGACTAAAGCACAGGGACTAGGGTTCAACGCCCTATGTGCCCATCCTGCCTTGTCCCAGTGGCACACTGAACCAGCAACTAATACTGGGTGTGCTGGTGCACTCCTGTAATCCCAGTGTTTGGGAAGCTGAAAACAGGAGGATCACTATGAGTCTGATCTGTGTAGTGAGACCCTGTAGACCCTGTACTAAATACAGAAATATATATGTTTTAAATTGGCACATTTGTACACACATAAAATATTTGATCACTCTCACAACCCCAGTAAAATTTGAATTAGTGTTTGCGATACACAATTACATGCATCTTGGTGACCTGCCACACATATACATTTCATCTTAGTCATTTTTACTCTGACTTCACTCCCTGCCCTCATGATTCTCCACTTTCTCTGACTTGCATCACACCTCTAGGGTCCATCTCCTTGCTTCCTCCCATTTCTCTAACATTGTGCTCTTTAAATTCTTTCCTTCTTGGGTTCCTCACATCAGAAGAACCATGTGAAGTTTAATTTCACATAGAATCATGATCTCAAGTTCTATCCATATTTCTACAAATGGCTCATTTTTTTTTCACAGTACCAGGGATCAAACTCAGGCCCTTGCATTTGCCAGGCAGGCATTTATGCCACTGAGCTATATTGCCAGCCCCTTTATTTTTTTTTTGTGCCAGGAATCAAATTCATGACCTACTGCATGCCAGGCAGGTGCTTGCCACTGAGCTATATCCCCAGGCCTAAAGGGCTCACATTAATTCTTTCTGGTTGAATAGTACTCCATTATGAATACATAGCATATATTCTCTATTCATTTATCTGTTAATGAACATACAGGCATCTAATCACATTTTGGCTATTATGAATTGTGCTGCCATAAATATAAGGATGTACATGTATCGCTGTAATGTGATAACTTCAAGACTTTTGGAAAGACATACAAAAGAGATACATGAAGTGCAATATTATTTTTAAATTTTGCGTAACCTCCACACTGATTTCTACAGTGAGTGCACACATTTACTTTCTCATTAAAAATGTGGAATGTTTCTCCTCCCTCTCCACCCTGTTCTCCCATTCTCACATATATATTTTTTGAGTTTTGATAATGGCTTTTCTTGCTGGAGTGAGGCAGAATCTCAACATTCTTCTGAGTTACATTTCTCTTTCTTTTTGTACTAATTAACTTTATTGAAAATCAAAAATAATTATATAGCAGATTAAAAATTGTAGACAAATACTGAAATGTGAAAGATATAAGATGTACACAGTGAATTATTGAAAAATATTTCTGAAATAAATAAATAACATGAGATTAATAATAGACTGCACATTGTAAAAAATTATTTAGAAACTTAAATGAATATACCAATAAAATTGTTTAAAATAAACATGAAGAAGAGTTTACAGATCAGTCATATAACAGTTCTCTCTATGCCAAAATCAAAGAACTTATATTCATATAATTAGAATTCTCAATTCTAATAGAAGGGGGTAGGCAATAAATTTTTAAAGATTTAAAATTTCTGAATTTAGTTAAAATTATAGCACCATATTTCCAAGAAAAATGAACCTTTTGCACAAGAAAAATGAATAAAATCACACCAAAACACACAAAAATGAAACTGTCCAAAAATAATTGTATAGAAAAAAAATCATTAAAGCATATATATAGAAAAAATTATTAGCTATAAAAAAAGATTAAATAGCATCTTATTCCACATTAGAAAAAAACAAAGTAAGTGGGTAAGAAACTAGACTTATTTATTCAAAGGGCTGAAAAAAAAGATCTGTCCTCATTGAACTTTATACTTAGCACACATACCTTTGAAAACAAAAAATATTTTCCAGTTATACAAACTTAAAAGATTCTAATATGTCCAGGCATAGCACATAGAAAATAACAAAGATCATTATCCAGAAGGCAAGAGAAGTTGCTGTATGGTCCTGGATAAATGAAAAGGTCTTGGGCCCAGGGAGATATCTCAGTAGAATAAGCGCTTGCCTGGCAAGCGCTGCGTCCTGAGTTCAATCCCCCGTACTTAGCAATTATTACTGACTGAACAGGGTAACAAACAGTTGCTCCTAAAGTAGCCAGTCCTAGTGGATAAGCAATTTTCTTAAATCTAGAACCTTTTCTTGCTGAAAGCAAGCCTGCCAATCCTGAAACTGTAATCACTCCCAATTTTGGAAGAAAATCTCGAGGAGGATTCTTCAGATAGGCATATGCATCTTTTCCAAATTGTACTGTATCCATTATTCCATTTTTCACAAAGATATATGTACTCTTGCACCAGCCAATATAAGAACCAGTTGTACTGCGGACAGATGCAAAGCCCATTTGTAAATAACCAGGCTGCTCTTCAACGTATTTAGATTGAAGAGGTGGCACAGTATATATGGGGAGCTAAGGAAGGACTTTAAATTGAATGACAGCTTCCAGAAAATTCAGTGGGCTCCTTAGTTTCCTACTGCTCTGGTCTTACTAGCTGCTTTTTGGATTCCTCTTCTTTGGCCATACGTACACTTACAGATGCATATATCACACTCACAGGCATGCTGGTCAGCTTTCCTATTCTAAAGGGCGCCATCTCTTTGACCCTCTCCGACCAAGTTTTTCACTGAGATGGCTTTTGATTTGTACGTTATACTGCTACGTACTTTGAAAGTGTGAAGATTGGGCTTTGTGTGGTGGACAAGACAGAGGACACCGAGGCACAATGGCAAAATTTTATGATTAAAACTACAAGAGTATGTGTTCCATAAAGGTTAGAATTGAGTGCAAAGGGGGCTAATGCAGGATTTGCTCTAGCTTGAGAGATTTACTGTGTAGAAATCAAGATGAAGTTTAAATATGTTGAAAGTCCCACAGCACCCACACTATGTTGAGTCCATTATATTTAGAATTCAGAGATATTTTGGACAGGAAGTAGGCAAGTATTAGGCAGGCCATGTTTATGTATGCTTGAATCATAAATACATTTCACTTGATTTTTCTATGGAAAGCTTGCCCCAGACATGCATTGTTCACATGACGTAATGCAATATAACTGATTTAATTAGAGCCTATTTTCTTGGCCAGAAATCCCTGTGTATGGGGAAGGTTGCTCTTGCCATGAAGGCAACTATCATTAGGTTACACAATTTAAGGATAACTGCAGAATGCACTCTCTCTGCTTTCTTTTAGGCTTCCATCCTTTGCTCAAATTAAGTATGGAAATACTGCTTGCCAATGGCCCTGAACACAGGACTTTTTCCTGAAAACTGCATTCCTATTGACTCAGTTTCTAGCACATCTATTGCCTGATGTACAGCTAATCTAATCTGATGCAGGAATGGTTTGCATGGCGAGGCCAAAGTGCACCACAGTGGTTTTCTTTAAAGAAACATTCCACTAAGATTTTATTTTCCTTCCGTGCATGAAGAAAAATAGACAAGACCTATCTTAGTTGATACAAATAATAGTATTGAGTCGTAGTGTGGAAGGAGGAGGTCTGCCGAAGTGATGGCCTCATGTTGCCTTTGGGACCAGCAAGACAGTGCCTTCTGAACTTGAAAGAAGGCTGCAGGGGAGCACCATGTGAACCCTCAAGACAGTAAAGAAATACCTGTAAGCTCTTGGAGACAGAAGTCTGAAAAGGGCAGGGATTATTCTACTTGGCTATTGCAGTATACATGATCTAGGTTAAAATGGAGAAGAATGATATATTTAGAATTTGCATAATAAAAATGTAAAGTGTGCTAATTTATTATTTTATTCTCTTTATTACTTAAAAATTATAAGTAGTAGTATGCTTATTGCAAGAGACTGCCACACTCTCCAGGGATAACCACTGAAGACTAGTTAGCATAAGCTTGTCAGACCGTCTTCTTGTATATCTAGATTCATTGTCGTAGGTACTTACTTGTCATTGAGATGCAATGTCTGACATAAATTAAAGGAGGAGAAATTTATCTCAGCTTTCAGTTTATAGAAAATTTTTAATGTCTTTCTTTTTTTATTAATTTTATTGAGAAAAGAATAGCAATGAGACAGTTTCAAACAGTTTCAATAATTAATACATTGCATATTGCTGTCTTTGTAGTGGGTATTCACAGTACAAGATGCAGACATGATATCCTGTCCAAACACAACTAGTACAAATCTTTCTTCTCACTGAATTAAGACAAAGTAGCTATATATCTGTCCTATTTTGTGTATACAGATACAAAATGGTCCTTCATTTGTATCCCCTTTCTTTGTTTAGTTTTGTCAGAGATGGGAATTCCATTGCCATTTAAATATTGTAGGTGCATGAATTCAGCAGACTAATCCAATATAGTCCAGTAGTCCATAATAGTAGCGGCTTATTCGTCAGCCATCTCATCTCCAAGGCAGGGTGGCATGGCAGAGGGGCATTGTAGAGGTGAAACAGTCCATGGCAGGGTCAGCAGGAAGTAGAGAGAAATCAAAAGAGGAGCAGGGAAGAGACTGGTCTAGGTCACGTGCCCTGTGACCCACCTCTTCTAACCAGATCCCTTATAGTGAATCACCCAGTAGCCTCTATAATCTAATTAATTACCTTCCCAAAGCCCCACCTATTAGCATTTGAGGCTTTGGAGGGATATTTTAGATATAAACCATAACACACATACTTTAAAAATTAAAGATCACTTTGGGCACATGTTCTAGTACCACCTTTGAACATATTCGCCAGGTTGGATGTGTGGCTCACTGGTAGAACATTTATCTTACACGTGCAAGGCTCAGGGTTTGGTCTTCAGCTCTGGAAAATAAATCACCAGTATATTACGACAATCTCTCCTTTTGGTACCATGTGGCTCGTGTGTAGGTAGAATTCTATGAATGATCTTCAGTGACCATTGTCACTTTAACTTAGGTGAAACTCTGCATAGGGTGAGTGACCAATCCCTTGGCTGTACACCTAGCAAATGGGAGATGCTCTGGCTATCCTTCAAAAGAGGGCTTTTCTCTAGCTGATGAGTAGGGGAGGGGGGAGACTCAGATCCTGCAGGGATTCCCTAGGAGGCATTCTTTTGCTCCCTGCTGTGCCTTGCTTTTGAGAGATCCTGGGACAAGGACTGTAGACAATCCATGGGAACTGAGAGCCAGGAAGGACAAGGGATCATCATCCTACAGCAGTAAGGAGTGGAAGTCTGTGAGCAACCTGCAGAGAACATAGTATGTAGGTCCTTCCCTAGCGGTCCTCCAGAGGTGCGTGCAGTCTACTTGGCACCTTGATTTCTCCCCGTGAGACCCAGAGCTGAGGATCCAGCACCATGGTGCCAGGTTCCTCATCAAAAGGGCTTTGTGTGAATAAATGTGTGTTGTTGTGAGGCACCAGGTTTCAGGTAGTTTTGCTACTCAGAAGTAGAACTAACACAGTACAGGTGACAATTCTCTTAGACTTAGATTTCTCATCTGTACCAACTTCAGGGGAATAAGAGTCAAACAAAGTGAAGCTCAGGATTATAGAAATGTGATACTCATTTACTCATTCAGTCATACTATAGAGCATGGCTATGTGCCAGTCACCGTTCACAGGGCTGTGGACATATCTGTGAACAGTAGGCAAAATATATGTAGCTAAATCTCTTTAAAGGGAAGCAAGGGAATTGTTAGGCATAATAATAACCTGCAAATGTTTAGAATTTTATAAATTACAAAGAATTCTCCACATATGTTTTAAAAGTTTTTATTAACACATATTAATTGTGTGTGTTAATAGGTTTCAGTGTGATATTTCCATACATACATATAGTATCTGTTCCTTTTTTGTTTCCCACCAAAATTTTCACTGAGGCTCATGTCCTTGTTATGTACTTTTTTTTTGTACCAAAGATTTATTCATTTATTTATTGTTTGTTTGTTTGTATTTTTAGGGAAGGGTCTAGAGGGTGTTCAGGGTCTTACCACTAAATTGGACTTGTAGTGATCTGCCTGTTTACAGAGCTGGGATTACAGGCGCGTACAACCACACCCAGTCTCAATTGCCATCTCAGCATGCCCTGGGGGCAGCGCCGGCACAGCAGGCCTGGGGCTCAATCCCCAGGTCCCTGAGTCTGCTTGTAGGTGCTTTAATCTGCTGAGCTATTTGGCTGGCCGTGTACCAAGGATTTATCTCAGGACCTTGCACTTATCAAGCAGGTACTTAGACCCCTGAGCTCTCTCCCTGGACCATTACTTTCTTTTTTACAAGTATGCAAACCAGTGGTTCTGTGTTAGAGTCTGAGGGACTCTAAAAGTTCATCCAGATGGAAACTCCAGGATGCTGTCCTTTGTGTCATACTTCTGACCCCTCGGGAGCTGTTGTGTCACAGTGAGCATTTGGAGGAGTGCTATCTACACGTCTCATATTGCATGCTGTGGTCTACGTGCATTGTCTGATTTTATCTTCATAGCAACTCAGGAAAGTTGATCCTGTATCTGTTTTTACTTTAAAGATGATGAGCCAGTTTTTCTATGTGGAAGCCAAGTTTCAAATCCCCATAGCCTGACTCCAGAGTCTATGTGTGCGTCAGCCCTGAGCCACAGTGTCAGCAAGCCAGGCCTCCAGTGCAGGCCTTCCAGAAAGACTGGCCAGGATGATTCTGTATGCTTTCAATTGTGATGATATTTCATTACGTCTTACTGTTTTTTGTTTTCATCATGTCAGGTTTTTTTTTTTTTTTAATAATTAAATGTATGTAGGCAGTGTATGCATAGAATTATAGTTTCTACTCTTTATAGTTTTCATTAAAAATGCACTAGGGTCAAGGATAGTTAACTTACTTAGAGACTGTCCCAGCAAGACAGTTTAGGTTGGATAACACAACTAACTCCTCTTAGCAACTTACTTACTTTATTTATTTATTTTTAAAATTTTATTTGTGTGTGCTTGTGCATGTGTGTGTGGCCAGCTCAGCCCACCAGGGGGCGGGGCTGGCTGGCATGTGGTGCTGGGGTTTGAACCGCGGTCCCTGTGCTTTGCTAAGCTTGTTCTAAGTAGGTGCTTTAGACCATTGAGCTATCTCACCAACCCCTAGCAACTTACTTTAAATGATTATCTGTGAATGGATACTTCACTTGGATTATATTATGAGTAAATATTTCTCTCCTATCAATAGTGCTATGGACACTATAATGCGCACATTTTCAAAAATTAAATCTCAATTCATATTGAAATTACACACAGACCCTCACACATGGATACATATAAGTCTGCATTTTCTTCAGCCTGTCTCACTTTTTGAAAGTAAGAGTTTCCTAGTTAACTATCTTTCTTCTCTTGCTTTATAAAAGGCTCTTTCCAATTTCACTTGGTACTCTGGTGTTCTAGGATTTGATTAATGAGTTAATATCAAGTTGTCCATTCAATTTAAAATGATAATAACTTTGATCATGTCCCCTTCACCTTTTGTCTCGAAAACTAAATAGTCTCACTTTAAAAAAGTTTAACCTCAAAGACTATAGTGTCAACTATCCTTTCATTATTACTAAAATAGTATTTTTTTTCCTAGGGCTTTCTTTCTTTGTGCGGTGAGAATGATAATTTATGATTTTGTGTGAAAGTAATATACTGATTCTTCATTTTATTTACTATGAGATTTGGATTGATGTTTAATATGTTTA